TTTAACTATTTGTAATTATTTTAATTAACTGGAACGTGGCTATCTTGGACAAAGTGAAGTTTTGTGTGTTGGTGATTTCTTTTTCTACTATAAATGCCTCTGATGATGGCTCCGTGGTGAGCCGAAACATGTAAGGCAGGTGGTGACGAGGTGGAAAACTTAAAAAAGTGTCACATTTGACGGAAGGAACTTGATTGTTAATTGGTTAGTGTGACGGACCAGAATGAAAGACCTTAAACTTATTGTCCCAACATTTATCTGCAGGTATTCAGGAATACTACAAAAACCTTCAATCTGGATTTACAGTCTTAATGCCAAGAACTCAGGTGCCAGCCTTACCAGTGTGAAGCAGTTGACTACAATGTGTAAACTAAACTTTAATAAATCCCTTACAAACTGATTTTCTGGCCTCTGGAAAATGATTTCTGACAGATTATGACTTATGTATCCATCATCATATTAAAAGCTTCTGTTCAGATTGTTTCACATGATTATTATACTCTCAAACTTATATTTCTATGTCTACATATTTTCAAACTGAAAATATGCGACACATCATTTTTCAGATAGGGCACTAAGTAAACAACTCTCTGGTAATAAAATCCAAATCAAAAGTGGTGGTTAAGTATGTAGCACTGACAATAGGAACATCTTGGACTCAAGTCACAGCCTAAAAACCAGCAATCCTGACTCAAATTTTCTGGGGTTTCCTCAGTCCCGCCAGGCACCAGGCAAATGTTGCAGCAGTATCTCAAATAGGTTGTTAACTGCTTTCTTCCACATCCCTCCCAATTCATTATTCATTAAATATCATACCATTTGACTCTATATAATCTGCAGTGCTGGCTGCATCTTCATTAAATTGTAAATACACAAACAAAACAGAATCCAAATGTTCAACTTTGTTCAGTAGGAAGACTATCACTAGAAACAATCATGAGCTACTCTGACACACCTTCCATAATATAATCTGCATTCCTATGATGAAGCCTAAAGCTATCTCATATTATCATCATTTTACAAAGGACCATTCTCTGAGATCTGGTTGCAGCAATATTATGTATGCATTTCATGTTTCCTTCCATTTTATTTACATGTACAGCTCATTCTTCCTTGATTTAACTTAGCTTAGGTCATTTATTCAAAGAATCCGGTCAAGTCTGAGGCCCTTTGTGACATTTCATACCAAGTTTATTTTTTTGTGGTGAATTGTTAGCCCCACACCCAACCACCAAGCTGGAAGACCATCCCTTGTCAGTTGTCCACAACTTCTTATTCAATACATTTGCAGCTACCTTCCATATCTGGAGGCTGTCACCTCCATCCACACCCTGAGAACAAGCCACGTTATGGTCTTGATTTAACTATGTCAATAATATTACTGTACTCCAATGAAGAGAGGTTCAAGCAATAGGTGAGAAGAACTCGTTGACCTTGATGACTGTTAAGGATAAAAGCTAATATATATATGGTATTGGCCCAACCGTACAGCAGACAAGAGTATAAGATGACCTTCTTTTCAGAAGCTACTTGGAGGGAATTGTACTAAAATGTACAACAGTTTATTTGCCAATGAGAGCCTTGCTGTATATAAGAATTTTCCAGCCTTGGCACTGGTGAAAAAGCATGACATATTTACATATTGTGACATGACGCCCAAAAGCCGGAATAGTGAAATCAGAGGATATGTCCACTGTTATGCAACTGCTCAGTAAACATATTCCTGCAGCAACAAATACACAAGCAACAATCGAATGACTCTTGTTGCTATGCAATGGTGCTGTAAGCACATCTTCTCATCTATAGAGAGGCTGTGTTTTCTGTGTGGTCCATGCCGAGGGGTTATAAAAAGGACAAAGAAGATCGTATGAGTTTTGAGATGCCAGCTTGCCAAGATATGAGTTGGGAGCAGAGGAATTACAATGGAGAGTCTCTTCAGAGTTGGCAGTTGGCAGAATATTAGCAAAGAAAGGAATTAGGTTCTGCAAAGAAGACTTCATGTGTGATGTGAGGAGACTGAGACTGTTATGAATCCATTGGCAGGAAACGACTAGTGGAGAGTGTAATAAGCTGAGGACTCTAGTGTGTGTGTGTAATGGTGAACTGTAAAGTGTGTAGATCAGCGATAACACTGTATTGCCTGTAGTTCCGAGTGGTGTTTATAATAAAAGCAATTTATCCAATCCAAAACCTATCCATAAGTCATGCACACACCCCCAGTCATGACAATACAGTCAGAACAATATTAAATGGTAAATTTCTTGTCAAGTAATATCCTCTGTTCCCACCCTATTCACGTCTTCATGATCCAACAGGAGAAATGTTACACATATTCATTTGTGAGGGCTATTTGGAAAGTAATCTCTATTTATTTTAGGCAACTAAAGTATGAGTTGGGGTGAGCTCGCAAGTGAGGTAGTGTCACATGACTCACTGCCTTGTACACCATCACATAATTGGTCACTTGGTGTTTGTTTCTGTCTCTACAAGTGAGTTATGATGTGTCCTGTGATTGATAACCCCATCAGCTGCAAAATTCGTGCCACTGTTACCCACTTTCTTCGTGCTAAAAACATGAATGCTGCGGAAATTCATCATGAATCATGCATGGCGGTTTACAGCCAACATGCGATGAGTGAAGGAACTGTAAGACAATGCTGCAAAATGTCCAAAGATGGCCGAGCAAGAGTTCGTAATGAAGAGTGAAGTGGTCAGCCATCTGTAGTGAGTGATGACATTGTTCAAAGTGTTGATCATAAAATTTGTGAAAGATGACACTTCACAATTACAGAACTTCTGTGTGAATTTCCACAAATTTCATGTGCTGTTCTCTATGGGATTATAACAGGCTAGGCTATCACAGCTTTTACACAAGATGGGTTCCAAAAATGCTCATGGATGTGCACAAAACTCGGAGAATGGGTTTGACTTTGACTTTCTTAAAGTGGTACCACGAAGACAGCATTGAATTGTATTTGGAGAAAATTATAATCTCTTTTTAGTCAATACTGTGTCATTCAAAATCAGAAAAATTATGGTCCCGATATACCTTCCTGGGTCTCTGTAACATGGCACAATGGAATAATCTTGAATCCTGAAAACCTAGGCTAATTCATTCATTCATCAGTAATCTGTCAGACAACAGGTCCACAGTCTCTTCCACAGTTCCTCCACTTAATGCGATCTTCTGTTTTTGGAAAGAGACTATCCAGGAAAAGTGACAATGTGGTAGTTTTTCCATTTGCTTTCCACATCGCAGTACAGCAGCCGTTCAAACCACTCTGGTCACGCCTGTTGCTATACGAACTTGAACCATCTCGAGCATCATTTGCTCTGTGCTTCAAGTCGCTGCTGATGACGCTGCTTCCGGCATCAGTTTTTGGTGTCTCTCTTCGTCTGATGCCTACCCTTTGACCTGTCCAGCAAGGGAGGCCCTGCCAGTAGCTACGCTACCGTTGGTATAGCTCTCAGGGTCCTTGGCATACTCAAACCCCCTCACCACGATAAGGTGGAGACACGAGGAGACAACGAGGGGGTTAGGCTAATTACACTAGCACTTAACATTCACTTACCTGAACAGACCCATCGGTGTTTTGTACTTCAAAGTAACGGTAATTAAAATGGACAGTAGGAACCATGGGGTTTCGTGGGTGTATCACTGAACTGATGCCAGCAGCAAAGAATGGCAGTGGGCCATCTTGTAGTATTTTCCCCCTGTAATGACAGTTGATTATATGCATAACAGAATAATGTCAGATAATGAAACAGAAAGTGTAATATAGAAATACTTCTGCTACACCATAACCTCATGCGGATCTTAGTTTCATAACATTTTATCAGTTTCATAGGTTTATAGTGTTGTATGGCAGCATGTTTCTTAAGTATTAGTCTTAAAGGACTTGCTAGGAGGTGGTTATGGTCTCTTTAAGGTACCATCCCATATGGTACCAATGTGTTACCATATGGTAACACATTCCAGAATACCTGTAATCTTAACAAGTGCAGAGTGTCTAACATCGATGAATCATAATATTCAAATATACACACCTGGCTCTCATCTGCTGCACTGCTGCAGGAGGCAGGTGTCCCTGAACTACTGAAACATTCACTCCTGCTTTCTCAAAAGTCTGGCCATCTTGAATTACACAAGTAATGCCTCCCCCACCTTCAGGACGCTCCCAACGGTCAACTTGAAATCTCGTGTCTTTATCTTCTTCAGCTTCTAAGGCATGACAAACTTCAGCCTATGTGATGAAACATATCCATTACAGACATTTGGTGAAAGATCACTAGATCTGTTTGCTTCTTAGTTTATATGACCTTTCTTATTGTCTAATTCTCTACAGAGACACAAAGTAATCTGGTTTTGGTGGTGTGGATACATACTGAAAGGTCACTCCTACAAATAAAAGAATTCCTTTCATCCTTGCAAAGGATGCTACATGAATGGTCAAAAGTTTAATGGAATTCAAAAAGGAAAACTTCTGCATGCAAATACCGTAACTAGCAAAAGTATAGGAGACCAGAGAACATATTCTTACTATAAAGAAATCAAATATCCAATTTGGGATTACCTATATAAGGTTTGAGGTCATAATTATAAAGACTATGAAGATTACTATCTTCTGGGATGTGATGCCATACCATCTGGCAAATAGATTCCAATATTTTTAAGGCTCTTGCTGCTTCCATCCTCAGGAGAAGCCAGACATAACAGATCCTTCCAAAAGACTGTAACTATTTACCAGACTACATTGTGTTTCATTCCAGAATCTTCACAGGGATTACCTGATAACATGAACAAATCTGATTCCTGAAACTCACCTGTATTCTCATTATCAGGAGCTCCATTTTTGTTTTCATGTCATTTGGATTTTGTGACAATTTTTTTATATCAGTAATGGGTTTAGCCATAAAATTTGAGGTTTCAATCACAGCTGTGGCCATTTCTGCCTTATATTTATTGGCTGTATAGGTTGCAATGCCAGAGGTCAGTAGCAGGGCTCCCATGTGCCTGCAAAAATAGGGAAAAGAAACAGCTGCTAAATGTTTCCTGCATAAATCTTTTATTAATCTAACATTTCTCCATTCCACATGTAACAGCATACTGCTTTCATTCTCAGTTTTCTGGAATCAGAAACACTTCCTTCACAGTAGACATAATGGTGCACTGGCATGATTCAGTTTTCTGGAAGTAAGTAGTGGCATTTCCTCCATACCAGATGTAATGGCATACTGCTATGACTAGGTTCATCTGGAAACGGTATTGGCATTCCCGCCACTAAAATGTAATGGCTCTATTGCCATAACTTAATTCCAGTTGCATTTAGTGTGAAAGAAGTACCAAACAACCAAAAGTGTGTGTTCTGTTAAGTTTAGGGCTTGATCTGTTTAATGTGTTGATGACTGCAAATATCTAAAGCAGACCAGTCAATTTTACACCAATGAACTAACCACTAACAAAAACCGGCAAACATAAGTATACAGTGTTACCATGTAAGTATTTCTCAGCATGGAGGAAGATTCATCTACTGTCTGTAATCTCCCAGAAGTGAAACTGGAGAACATACTTAAGTTCGTATAGAAAATTTCTTAAAGATTTCATTGTTGCGAATATATATGTGGAAAAAATTCTAAATAGAATGAGTTTCTAACAATAAGTAACAAACTGACTGACCAACAGAACAACATATTGGATACATGCAAATCACGAGGTAAAGGTAAAAAGGTCACACTATCTCTGTAACAGGCCGTGGAGGACCATAGAGTTGTGAGATGTCGAGGCTCCCACATTTTCTAGCCAAGTGATTCACAGACGGCAGTGAGGTTGTCAGCCTTAAGTGCTGGCCACCCTTTACGCTCAGGAAGATTCCTGGTACTCATTTCTGTGAGAGGCTGAGTCGAACCCATTAAGAATCGAACCCGTGACCTTCCGGCTTGTAGTATAGAGTATCAAATATGTGCCTCTTCAAGGGGGATATAAAAGTTAAGTTTACAATGCATGTAAGTATGTTGACATTCTTCAATGAATTCCAAATTCTTATCAGTTTTAAATCTGCAACCATCCAGATGTTGTACAATGTTCCAGTGCTGAAGCAACATCTGGGAGACTAGTATTGATGGTGATGTGGAAACAGGTGTTGAAAGAAAATAACACTGATTCCTATGGATAAATGATGTAAAAATGAGTGCACAACCTTCTGAGTTGTAATGGCATGTAGTCTGATAGAAGTCCATTGGTGTTTTGGAGGTCTGTACCGCATCCATCTTCAAGGTCAAAGAGTAAATCAAGCAAGAAACCAGAAATATGGAGAGCTTTCATCAAACTACATGGCACTGCATCCCAAAACGCATCCTCCTCATTGTCACTGCTGTGGGAATCTCAAATCCAACAAGAGATATAAAAATTCATGTTAGATTTCGATCTTCTGGATTATGACACTGTTTAGTCAAGAAAACAGTTACAAACATTATGGAGAAAACTACTTTCTGTATCTTCACTTCTAGCCTATAGACAGGGGCAGCAGGTTTCTCCAAAATGCTGTAAACTATCTTTATTGCCACATGGTGTCACAACCCAGATGACCACATTTCAAATTTCATTGCTATGAAACCACAAACGTCACATGGTAATGCAAAGAATGGCCAAGGCTCCAAGAGGAATATGTAGAAAAATGGTGTATAAAGTATGCAGTGATGTATTATCCATAATGAAACTTTAAGTCAATGTCTTGAAGAAACTTGTAAACTTACATGCACTCCTCAGAGTAAGGAAAGGACTGTGAATTACAACTATCATACATCTAGCTGACAATATAATTGCAGCGTATTTATGCCATTAAAACATTTTCAGTTAGAAGTAGTCACACATGCTCAGATAATGACATCGTGTACTGCTAGATGATGGGGCTTCCTGTAATCTGTTGTAGCTAATTTTCTAACACGTCACAATTGCCAAGAACTGACACATATTGCAATTATCCAATATTTACAGACTGTGGAAACTTTCTTGTTTGAGGGTTGTGGAACAATGAACAAACTGTTGAATAATACAGTATGCGCCTAAAGTTACAATACTGAAACTCGCGCATTTCGAACGTGCATGTGCATTTGTCGATGGGGCATAGATCCAGCCGCATGTGTTCCCAGTAGTGAAAAGGAAGTTGTGTTGCGCAGTTCTTGTTTGAAATTGGTCTCTCGAAGGAGGAAAAAGTATTCATAATTGAATATTATTTCCGCTCATACGGAAGTGGTCGCCAGATAACTTGCTTCCTTGGTTTTGAGCGGCCAGATGTTAGCATACAGAAACTGCTAAATAATACACGTGTTAAGATATGGTGTGCCATCTCAGCACATGGTATATTAGGCCCCTATTTCATTGAGGATGAGGAAGGCAATGCTCTTACCGTACCGTCACCCAAGAATGCTATAGGGACATGGTGATCGGACCATATCTTCAGGAGTTAAGAAGGTTTTGTCTTGCAAGGGGCCTTGACATGAATAAACAGTGGTATCAATAGGACGTCTTTTCATTTCGGTACTGCATATTTTGGTGCATACTGTATCTGAGCAATATATAAAGCTGTCTGCAAACACTATGTTTATGCAGTTGCAATAAAGATATACAACATAGGGATTACAGCTGCAGTTTCTTCGATTTTTTTTACTGTTTTACATATTAGTAAGATGAAAAAATATGAACAAGATGGAAGAGATAATTTGTTGTTCGAAACATGCAAGTGACACTCAAATACTTACAGCAGGAAGATGCTTATTTATTTAAAAAATTTACGAGGCTGAGAATCTGTGACTGTTTTTGCTTCTTCAGATGACTGAACCAGGAACTGTCAAAATGAATACTGTAAAATTAGCTATGATGATGAGATTTCTGGATTCAGGTGACTCCTTCATAAGCACGATACACTTATATAAAAGTTCAAAGCATATCAACTGGAGTGCCTGAAGTGTGTGCAAATATAACTGAACCTTTGCAGGAATTGCTGTGGTCAGAAAAACCATAGTGCACTTTAACGTGTTTTAATAAAATAGTTTACAGTGTGTATTCCTTCAGTTGTAGAAGGTTAATATATTAGAAGAAGTGTGTGTAGGTGTTCACACCCTCCTTCAGAGTAGCTTTTGCTCTCATAACCCCGAGTATGTCAGTTGTTGTAAGGTGGAGAGCTACATGATGGAGATGGCTCAGAAACATAAGAAGTCTTTGCAGTTGTACCACCTGTACAATTCAGAGGAGCTGGATGAAATTTTGCAATTTTAACTTCAATTTTCCAATATTACTTATTCACTGCTGAGCTACAAGTTGGGCGTGGATATGTAATATGTTTCTTAATCAGTGAGCTATGTGCTCACCAAAAGCAGTAAATTCATCTCTGTTCAAATTTTTCTGAACAGATTTCATAAAACTGTGGGCTTCTTATAAGTGGTGACTACCAACTGATGTAATACTTTCACTTTTCTTTGGGCTTGTGCGATGCAGCACACTGGTTAACATTCACATAATTGCTGCTGCTATGACTGTATGACTCCAGACTAGCCTGTACATCATTTGGTTCTATTACATCAGAGTCCCATGTCAATCAAATTCAATCTCAGGTTCAGTTTCAGTTGTCAGAGCTAATCTATAAAAATGATGTTTACTTAATAAGTGGTTCATCTTAATACAAAAGCAACAAAATTAGTTATAAATGTGTAAGCATGCAGATAATAACTTCTTTACTGGATAAGTACAAATTATTGTGTTACATATTTTTTCCTTTAGTTTATTACTGTGATGACACTATTCATGATTAAGGGAATGAATCATCCATGGTAGCCATGAGAATTTTGTGAATACTAATCAGTTAATAACACCTTTTTACAGATTCCATCAGACAAAGATGGATGGCCTGAAATCACCATAACATTTGTACACTTCTTAATTTTCCTCACTGTCTAGGAGTGATGTGGTCTAGTGGTCAGAATTCGTGCGTATAGATCCAGAGGTCCAGGTACAATTCCCGGCGCTACCAGATTGTCTGAGAAGTAGTGGGTCTAGAACAGGGCCCACTCAGACTCGCGAGGATAATTGAGCTATTTCAAGGAAATAATGACTCCAGTCTAGAAAATCGAAAATAAGAGCTGTGGGGATTTGTTGAACTGACGTGACACCCTCTATCTGCTAAAGTTGGCACTAATTTCACCGACAAGTGGCGGTCACTTCATCAGTATAGTTTGCCTGCAGACTAAAAAACACAGAGTTTGTTTGTCTAGGAGTGATGGATGGCAAACACATGCTTTTCAAAGTACCTCATAATAGTGGCAGTTTGTACAAATGAACTTTCAGCACTGTTTTTCGTGCACTGTTGAAAGCGACTATAGACTCCACAATGTTTATATTGGTTGTTATGGCAGAATTCTGAATAGTGGTATAATTGGATACACTTCTTTTAACAAGAAAGTTTAAAAAATTAATTACACATATTTCTTATACAGTCACAAGAATTTAGGTCCATACCTTATGTAATTGTTTGTAATCAGATTTTGGCTAAGAGAAAACCTTCTGAGACCGTTCAGTGGTGTTTAGGGAAAGGGTGTCTATTCTGATATGATCTGTAAGTCGGTTTAACGTTTCTGTATTTATAATTTCTTTATTAAAACCGTCACAACACAACTATATTAAGGTCAGTGCCAAGTTTGGCTCTGCTAGATGCTTCGGCTTAATAGCCGAAGCATCTAGCAGAGCCAAACATCAGCCAACATCAGGCAAATACATGTCTTAACATTTATACACCACTGAACTGCAGTACTAATAAAATTGGATAAAATAATATTAATTATATTAAAATTTGGCATAAAAATACAATAAATAAAACTATATAAAACAAAAGTTATAGTATAAAACAGGAACAAAATTCCTCAAGTGATGCTTTACATCTTTGAGTCAGTCGTTGGTTTTTGTGATTTTGTTGTGTTCCTAAGGACAAATTGGAATATTCTATATTTTGTGTATATATAATAAACTGTTCTGTATTTGTTAACATTTAACATGGGTTGAAGGATTTTGTGCATTGTTGTATGAACACCACACCATGTGGTTAGTAGTGTGGGCTTAGCAGTGTTATTTCACTTGGAAACACAGGTGCCTGCAGAGGGGAGGAGCAAACCAGGCACCTGCCCAACCCCCACCCTTCCAAGATTTTGGGGGGAAAAATTAACATTGAAGAATAGAAGGGAATGTGCCAAATATTAATAAAAAACTAAAGGATTTTCCAAAACATTGTTCTATCCTAACTATTCTCAGATGAACTATAAACAAAGTCTTAAATGACTTCAACGTGGAAAATATCCTAGTGACACCCACACTTCGTCCAGTCAACAGACAGTACAATAAAATTAAATGTAGCAGACTCACCAGCACACAATGTTATCAATTTGTTTGTTTCAATTATGTTCAGAGGATTTATGCATGTTGTGATGGGTTATTCAGTTAACAATTCATGGTCTGCTGCTCCTGTTTCAAATGTATATAGGAATCTGTACTGCTAGATATTGTACTGTTGTTTGTCAACAAGGCTACAGTATAAGCACTGTTTATAAGGACAATGAGATGGGCAGGGCATGTAGCATGAATGGGGGCGAACAGGAATATATATAGGATATTGGTGGGAAGGGCAGATGGAAAGAGACCACTGGGAAGACCAAGGCATAGCTTTGTTGACAATATTAAAATGGATCCTGGAGAGATAGGATGAGTTGGTATGGATTGGCTTGATCTGGCTTAGGATTGGGACCAGTGGAGGCTCTTGTGAACATGGTAATTAAACTTCAGGTTCCGTAAAATGCTGGGAAGTTCTGGAGTAGCTGGAGAATTGGTGGCTCCTCAAGAAGGGCTCAGCTCCACGAGTGATTGAGTGAGTGAATGATGCTGCTTTCTGCACCAAGTCTACATAGAATCAAGAGAGGCCATGTTAAAGTCATTATGGCATGATATGTCCTCAGGATGCAAATGGAGGAAATGGTTGCAAGATATGGAGGGTCGCTACAAATGTATCAAATAATGAGTAGCTGACAGCCGAAATGGTGTGGACCTAAAGTCTGGGAGTTTTGCACGGGTCTAATAATTCATTATTTAAAAAAATTAAAATGTTATGAAATGTTACACAATACCATGGAGTTGGATATATTCTTAGGAATACACTCAGGAAAAGGCATAGATGGGAAGATAATATCACTGTGGACCTTCAAGAACTGTGATGGGAGGATGTGGACTGAATTCATCTGGCTCAGAACAAGGACCAGTGGCGGGATCTTGTGAATATGGTAATGTACCCTTGGGTTCCATAAAATGTTGGTAATTTCTTGCGTGGCTGAGCAACTATTAGCTTCTCAAGAAGGACTAACCTATATGGAGTTAGTTTGTGTACAAAGAATAACACAAATTAAGATTATAGCAATTTATGTATTCATATTTCATTGGTCCTCCATGGTATCCGTGTATATGTACAAACAATTAATAATGAAATCTGTCAGTTTTTGTCCTTCCATTCCTTGCATTTAAACAGACGATGCTGAACTCACTCTTTTGACACAAAATGAGTTCCGATTTCCACGGGACTCTTGGTCTTGAATCAGAAACTGATGGGAATCACACATGAATCACTGTCATTTGAAAATATTATCTGTACCAGAATCTGAGAGATTCTTAATGGCTTCTTTATGGTACCTGAAGAACTGTGTCCTCAGAGGTTTCTTTTTCTTCTCTGCACGATAAACATTGCAACCCACGGATTTCACAACTTCCTCCCATGTAACTTCTTGTATTCCTGTCTGAGTATTCTTTGCTCGAAAATTTCCAGACATTCCTTGTTTCGAAAGCATTCAATGAAAGTAAAAACTTTCTCTAGCGCCCACTCATATTGGTAAAGGCTCAGAAGAAGAAACGACAATTTAATTGTTAATAAACATTTGTTTGGCTACTGAAAACAACGTTAAAGACCTCCATTTTTATAGAACAACATGCACCGTTCCTCATTTGTGGTTGGAAACACTACCAGGCCTAGCAAACCTTGGCCACGCAGAGTTACTCAAGCACTGCGCAACTATTAGTTAAGATTTTTTTGTGTACTTACTGTTTCACAACTGTTGAACAACTGTGGAGCGGTTTGCACAAACCTTTGATACCAAACATCCAGAAAATTTCAGCCACACAGTAAACGTGCCTATCATGGTTTTCTTTCACAGCCTGAGGCTTTCTCTGCTGAGAGGGGGAGTGGTCGATCTGTTTATTCTTATCTTATAGGTAACCAGTTGATTTCTGCCTATTCATAAATTTTCGGTTTACATAATAAAGTGTAGCACTGTCTTTCATCTTAATATGGAATATGCTAAAACATACAGAGAACATACATAATAACGTAGTTTAGAGAAACAAAGTAATTAAATGTAATTACTAACCTCAATTTTGTTCCTTTATTCTTAAAGACATATTGATACAACGTGATGGAAGTTACTGTTTGGAAGGCTTTAACACAAATATTTTGAAACATTCTTACACGGGAATTATCTTGCTATATTCCTGTACATACATAACCAACAAACTCCTACGCAATCACACGTACACGAAGTAAGCACGTAGGACTTAACAGCTGATATTAGCACAGGGAGTTGGTTTGTATCGATCCGGTAGAGATAACCGCAATGCTGAGTATAATGTGTAAGGCAGTGAACGAAAACATAAATTTACTTAATATGACTTTACAGTGAATTTAATATGTTATCTGTTAACATTATTAACATTAGATAATAATGTAAACATATAACGAGTAAAATAGTACTATCTGACAGTCGCAATGACAGCTACATAAACATTTTGCCTACTTCCTGTGATTACCCACAAGTCCTTGCTGCAGTTGTATTTGCGGTTTAGCAGACGAGTTTTGTATCGTGGAATGTGGTGACGGGGCATTGCGGGCTATGAAGCTGCGTTAATTAAATGGAGATCTGTGATCCTGTGTTTACGAAATGAAGAAGTTCACCTTTAAGGGTGTATTGGATGGATTTCGGTCTTCTGTTGCTCAACAGACTAGAGTTGACCAGGAAATAGTGGAAACTCTTAGGCCTGACAACTTCCAAGTGGCAAAGGTAAGGCAAATGTTAAAATGGCGCCATGTTTGGCTTATGCAGTAGTTCATAGGAATATCTATAATCGAAGTTAATACGAAATAAATGCAAAGATAATTATATGGCATCTCTTATAAATCGAATTTAAGTTTTAAATATACCGAAGTTGCTAACTGTAGTGTTGGCATTACAATACTGTACTATGTTTCCGACTTTTGTTCGTTGATTCCCTGAGTAACCATAAAAAATTTGGAATGTGATTAATTGAATGCTAATGCTATGTTCATGCATATTCCGTCTTTTGAAAACAGTGACGATGCTATAGACAAAAGTCTAGTGAAATTGGACGTTGTTGTTTAAGCTGTCATAATTTGACATTACTTAATAGTACGAAATGATAATGATAACGGAAGTAACGAAAGTAAACATTGTACCAATCTTGCGGACAGCCAAAGCGGCACGCCCCTGCCATGTACACAGGCTCCTAAACGAAAACTGTAACCACGATTAACAAGTTGCGCTATTTTCTCCTGACGAAATGCGCAATAAAGTGGTAATCAACATTGAATCGATATGATTCATCATAGTTTTTAAATTGTGGTTAGCGGTGGGACTGATGCTTACATTACTTATACTTGCCAATTAACAGTATAGCGAAAGTATTTATGCCGTTTTATAAGCAGAATTGAACAACTTCTAAGTTGAAGAAAGTCGTCTTCTGGGTTTNCACCGTTGCCGAAAGGCATGAACGTAAACACCAGCCGGGAGTCTGTTTATTTTATTTTTCTTTTGTATTTCATTAGCCTTCGTGTTACGGACATATGCTTGCAACTATTAGCCCAAATTATCCCTTTCATTATGTTCTCGTTTTTGTAGTAAATGCACGTAATTGAAGAACATTTATTGTGTTTAGTGCGTGTTATTATCTAGTTTGATAACTTCACCCGAAAATAACTCGTTGTTGGATTATTTCATCAGCACCGGTACTTCTCTCACATTTTCATAAGTAAATTGATGTAGTGATAACTCTCAAAGCTTGTATTTGGGAAGTACAGAGTTGAAATCTCGGCCATGTTGTCTGTCTTCTGACTGACGTGTTCCACTGTTCTCTTAAATGTTTTGAAATATTACCCTGTAATACGCAGCAACCCCCTCCGAAATCCTTACTTTTTTCATGATTGTCTTCTGATTGCTAGTAATGTTGTAATTCAACGTCATATTGTGTGAACTATATATTTCGGCTCTGTCGGCATAATTCCTATATAAATTGAATACATTTATACCGTTTTCACTTTACGACACGTTTTGGCTATTTATGGGCATCACGAGGTCAATCAAATTTATATAACACTGAAAATTTTCTGCTGTTATTCCCCTACATCGACTAATGTTCACGTTTTTTAAGGGAAGGTAATGTTCATCGTTTATAGTATTAATGCCAGCTGTAGTTCATATGCAAGCTTAAAATATACTGGGTTAAACTTAATTTTAATTATAAATGAAATTAAAATAAAATAAAATAGATTAATTACATTTGTCATTAATTAAAATTTATGTTGTTATAGCTTTTGAAGGTCTTTGGCTTCCTGTTCATTCATAAGCGTTCCGTATTTCATATCGCGGTGTAACTTGGTATGCAAGTACATGTATCTATTATTAAAATATATGGGAATGATAGTAGAAATAATAGAATGTAGATGGCCATAAATAGCCGAAACATTAAAGTGCAAACAGTATACATTTATTCTAATTGCTTTTGACGCTGTGTTATGTAAGATATAGGCATTTTTTTAAACCTTTTTTGCCGTTACTGTCAGGCTCAGTTTTATCCACAAGGTCGAAACATAAATTTCACCGGCATATGTGAGCATTTTGACGAGTTACTCTGTATGCAATAATTGTTTGATGGTAGGCGTGCCAGCCGAACACAAAACACGATCTAGGTAAACTGAAACAACGCTGTTATGTGAACTGAATCTGGGAGTAGGATAACATCCGAAACGTCGCCGAATATTGCGAGATAGAGGTTCGCGCCGGGAGGATGAGGTGGGCAAGTCATGTAGCACGAATGGGGGAGACGAATGCGTATAGGATATTGGTGGGAAAGCCAGAAGGAAAGAGACCACAGGGAAGACCAAGGCATAGGTGGGTGGACAATATTAAAATGGATCTTAGAGAGATAGGATGGGATGGTATGGATTGGATAGATGTGGCTCAGGATAGGGACCAGTGGAGGGCTCTTGTGAACACGGTAATGAACCTTCGGGTTCCATAAAATGCTGGGAAATTCTTGAGTAGCTGCAGAATTGGCGGCTCCTTCAGAAGGGCTCAGCTCCATGAGTAAGTAAGTAAGTAAGTAAGTAAGAAAGTAAGTAAGAGGTTCGCGCCGATCCATTGTGTTCGAAGGATCTGGGTTTTGAATCTCGAGACAGGGTACTTGCAGAATTCTGTGGTGTTCGGTATTCCTTCGAGACAAATGTCGGATTAGTACCTTAAAATAAGCCATGACCGTCTATTTTGCCTCTCTTTCCAGTTCATCATTCAGAACATTCGCTCTTATCACAGCCCATGGATTAGAACTCATGTTCGCAGGTCATCTGTTGCGAATGTAGATTCCCTGAGATTTTCCATGGTTTTCTTTAGTCTTTCCAAGCAAGTAAAATTGAAATGGTTTACTACTAGTTAAGCATTGCTTTGTATGGGGCTGAAACTTGGACACTTAGGGCAGTAGATCAGAAACACCTGGAAAGCTTCGAAATGTGGTGTTGGAGAAGGATGGAGAAGATCAGTTGGACCGATTATGTGAGAAATGAAGAAGTGTTATTTAGAATCAGTGAGCAGAGCAATATCCTACACGAAATAAGAAAACGGAAGGCTAATTGGATTGGTCATATCTTACGCGGTAACTGCCTTCTAAAAGAAGTTATTGAAGGAAAGATAGAGGGGCGGATAGAAGTGACCAGAAGACGAGGAAGAAGACGTAAGAAGATGCTGGATGACCTTGGGGCAGAAGAGGATATTTTCATTTGAAGGAGAAAGCTCTAGATCACATCAAGTGGAGGAACTGTTTTGGAAGAGACTGTGGACCTGTCGTCTTGACAGATTACAGATGAATGAATGAATGAATGAATGAATGAATGAATGAACTACTGGTTAGAGTCCATCCGGACTCAGTCTATGCAGGAGTTTGCCGGAATAGTAGACGCAGTAGTGCACGCATCTGAAAATACGAAATCATGGCCTTTCAAGTCCCCGCATATTCGGATTCGTATTTGTGGTTTATTTTGCTAGACTCTCGGTATCCAGATTATGCATCTTCCAATGGTAGGATTTGATGAATTGGAAAGGATTTGGCAGAAAGCGGCCGTGACACAATCAAGGTAGTTTCCCAGCGTTTACCTAAGGGGACTGACGAAAGCCACGAGAAACCTTCGTCAGGATATCTGGTATTCTGTCCGAGATTCAAGCCGAGGACCCCCCGAATATGTCTAGTGAGTTGCCACTACATTAACCTGGTTATGACGATAGTCTCATTGGACGCTAATAGTCATTGCAGTTTAAACACGCCCTTAAATTCACATAAAAGAGTCGATCAACTCTCTACCCACACCTTTTCCAACTCAGTGTTCTTAAAATTTGTCCTATTCTCCTGAATGTATAAGGGGCGGGCCTTCTTGGCCCTTGCACCCCGACCACAGTGATCTATTGTGCTTTGTCCTATTCTGTTATTGACACTAAATAAAATTTGCAGTTGAAACAGCATAGTTAAAAAGAACAGGTACTCATCTCGGATTCTGACTTCTTCCCTATCTTCTGGACAAAGTTTCTTCGCTGCTGTTCTTATTCCAGGAAGTTTTCCTTTCATAACGGGCGAGAGGATGTCATGATATGCTTAGTCTGGACACCCGTTCCAGCACATCGTCAGACGATCGTTATTCCTGTAGATCCCGATATATCACTTTCACAAGATATCTGTATGTACTGCAGGAAAAAGTAAAATCTACCGCACTTTTGCAAACACCTATAGCACAGAAGGTATCGGATGCTCCATATCAACGGCTCTTAATAACAGTCACCAGCTGAAGTATTTTCAAGTTTATGCTAAGAAGGGTGATAAGTGTAGAACTACTCCAGACACGAGTGTGCTCCACTTTTATGATTCTCACCTCGCCGTCTCTGTGCAGTTCCATCCATATATTGAATTCACCCTTCGAGGCTCTTTTGTCTCTTATTATAAGTTAATAAATAAATAAATACATAAGAAGAAGAGACGAAAGAGCGTCGAAGGGTGAATTCAGTATATGGACGGATTTGCACAGGGACGGCGAAGTGAGAATCAGAAAAGTGGAATAGACAGTGCAACATAATTGAGCGTGTTTTCTTTTATTCTGATGGATTAAGCCAATTCAGCCGGTGTTCCACACACTTCTGTCGCCGCCTCCTGAGGTGTACAGTAGCTCTAATCAGGCAGCACATCATATCCTCGGGTGTTCAAATTTAGGGCTACATCTCTGACTCCACACATGGCTGTTTATGGAATAAGGAGATTAAGCCCCACCCCTCCCCACTCGTATACGATCTTTGAGATTTTGAATGCCTCATTGTTATGGCATTCATTTATTTCGAATAAAAATGTTTTGCTGTACTATAACTATTAGCAGTACATATTCATAAAACTCACCGGATATTTGAAGAATTACCTGTTTATTCATTGTTCGTCATTAGTGCAATTTTGTGACTAGAGACATGTCTTTTAATGATATATTTTTTATCGTAGTTGAATTTTTTGTTTTGTGTTTTTGCGATGCCACATATAACAGCGCCATCTTCAGTGTGTTAGAGGCTTCTGACCTTAAAGTTGCATGTTACTATTGCTGAATGTAGCAGATCACCTGAAATAGGCATATTTTGAGTCTTTAATTGAATAACTGTTATGTATATGTTTTGTTGCTTACTGCGAGTTGCTCAGGCACGCGGTAGCGTAGTTGGTTGAGGCACTATGCTACAAGCCACAAGTTGAC